AAGTTCAAAGGCACAAAAACCTACCTACTCTTGCAGGTTTCAACTTCAGAGTTATTTCCAGTAACAGGAATTAATTTTCATTCATATGGGGGATTGTTGGAAATTATTTAGATAAATTGGACATTTTCGGACATAAATTCGGTAGGGTCCACAAAATTATTTTCCGAAAAAATTATGGACATTTAATCTTGTAAGTAAGATAAATGTTTCGACATATTACACGCCATAAATGGTGCTGGGGTGAATGAGAAATTAATTCTCAAAGTTGAATATGAGGGAAGAGTAAAACCCTTCTCCCACACCGGTTTTTGAACCTTTCGTATTCTCATATTTAAACTTAAACATTAATTGAGTTTATGAAAGGAACAAGAAAGTGCTCCTCGCGCGCCGCCTCCACCGCCGTCCGTCTGGCTCAGCACGTCACGCGCGAGCTCGCACGTTAGGGTGGGGCGGGGCGAGGCAAGGCTCGACGCGCCTCGCCCGCGTCTGTGGCGGGGCGTGGCTATCTTTTTACAAGACCGAATTGAACACGCGTGGACACTTTGTGATTAACGAAGTGTTGTCCAAAGAAGCATGCATGCACAGGGAGGCAAAGGGTTGGCCTGTGACGCCTCGTAAACTCTGTCTGGTCCAGCAAAGAGCCACCTCCCCTTCTATAGAAGGAGGGCTTGGCTGCATGGAAGAACACACGAGAAGACACAAGAAAACCCTTCTCTGAAATATGAATAGCTTTCCGACTATCCCCCGGGTTCCGATTGTCTTCCCCGGCAGTATCATCCTGTTGTTCTCGTTCGTCGGTGCACGGTTCTACCGCCCTAGGCCTTGCACGTAGCGGTTTTATCCTGGGAGGAGATTTCCCACGTTTGCCAGTGCGGGAGGCGGGCAATACTACCTTAAGGAAGGCTCCAGCGACTCCGCTTTCCTTACCTATGTCCGAGAAATTGCTTCGGCGACATCCTACCCTCTATCCGACGTCTCTACTCGCCGTTCAAGGCAACTGTCCGTTTGTGTTCCTGCTTCCGTTTTAATCCGTTCGAGCTTCCCGAAGACTTCAATTTCTTTATTCTATTTCATTGTAAAATCTGAACGTTTTATAAGTTTGGATTATTTTTTTTTCCTTTTTTCCCCGATGTAATATCTCTAACACATACAAGTCGAATACGCATCGAATACCGTGGTATTTGATTTGATTCAATTCGTATACATCTCTCGACACATTCCAATCAAAATACTTCGTTAAGAATATACTTCATAGGTGATATGATATATGGAGTATTTACTACCTTCTTCTAGTTTGACATTTTCAAGTCAAACTAGACTAATTTTGGACCTCACTAAAATAAAATTTTTAATGGATATTAATGTGAAAATCATCTCATCACAATATTTATCTACTTGAAAACTTTTAAATTTTGATTTTATTGTATTAATATGTAATACAAATTGAGAATAATTGACGATTAGAGATTGTCCAATTCGACACAAAAAAGTCAAATTAGACGAATTCACTAAAATAAAATATTTTTTATATGTATAGATCTGATCAGATTCAAATTAAGGTTATTATTAGTATTATTTATTGTTATTATTATTATTATTATTATTATTATTATTATTATTATTATTATCCCAACAGTCCCTTTGACCTTGGAAATCAAGATCATATTGTGATTCAGAAACATACGGTGTTTCATTTGTAAATTTGATGATTCTTACCGTGCCAAATCAATGACTTAGGGGTGTGAGGAGAATTTAGGAGGGGTAGGGACCGAGTTCTACTCTTCTTATGACCTAAATATGATTTCACACTACCACTCTCACATTGATGCAAGCGCGTTGCCATGTCATACTACCACTTAAGCGACGCCACCAATTGCTAGAGTATTGTTGCCGGCCGCCGGAACACTATCATGTGTCTCTAGATCACTTCCACCGAGGTCGCTAATGTTAACCATTCTTGGCTGATAGTCCACCAGCACACTGCCACCCTCTAATTTCCATCATTCTTTACATTGTCAAACTCTTATAGTCTTATTTAGAGGATAAAAATAATGTCATTTTTATTTTGATAGTTTGATAATATTTTACTCTTATGTAAGAAATTTTCTTTTATTATAATACTTGCTTCGTCCAAAAAAGACTTCGTGTTTGACATAGCCCAAAATTTAAAAAAAGTAAAAATGTATGGTTGAAAATGATGACAAGAAAGAATAAGATTGTTGGTCTCTCAAAGTTTGTCATGAAAGAAAGAGGAAACTTTCTTTAGAACGACCAAAAGAAATATAACGAATCTTCTTTTGAAACGCAAATACTATTTACAGAAGCATACTCAATTAATGTATGTGATTTGAGATAACCTAAAAATACTCTAAGCAAATTTCTCTTTGAAATTTAAGCCAATATATTGGCCGGCCAATTAGTCTGATTTCATCCATGTTTAACAATTCTTATCATAGTTTTAAAATTTGAGTGGGCGAGTTCGAGCCAGGAACCATCAAACCGGAGGTTGAACTGGTCTGGTCCATCTTCTTGGACCGCTTCAGTAGTGAACGAGTTTGAACTGGTGTGAACCAAAAAGAAGCGGTTGGTCAATTCAACCGGTTGAACCATTTTTTGTGAAAATTAACCAAAAACATTAATCCAACTCTAGAATTCAAACCTTAGACCTCTTAAATATGATATCAAGTTATCCACCAATAAGACAAGAGTAGTTTTTATAACATACTTGTTCCAAGTAGTATATAGTTTGTAATTAAAATAATAAATATGTATTAAAAAATTTCTTTTTTTAATTTTTTTACGGTAATTTCTTTTTTATTTAAACTAGGATTCCAAACATTGAAAAAAACAATTGATACTACGGTTGGGTTCTAGTGACACTGGAAAACGGTGCCACTAGCGGTGCCAATGGGTTTTTGGGGCACCTCCAGTGCTCCGTTCTTAAAATTGACGGTTCCTACCTCCCTAACCCACCTCCTAAACCCCCACCCTACCCCAACCCCTGCACCTCACCCCAACCTCGCCGTAAGCCCCCCACAAAATGTGTGACTATTATGCAATGCACGGACGGAGCACCGGAGGTGCCCCAAAAACCCAGTGGCACCGGAGTGGCACCGTTCTCCGGTGTCACTAGAACCGGACCGTTGATACTAATATAGAATACGCGTCGCCAAAAAAAATCATTTGAATATTTTTGGAGTAAATTAGACAAAATATAAAAGAAAAATAAAAACATTCTTATTTTATTGAATTTTTAATGTATTTCTCAATATGTAGGTTCTATTTTAAATATAAATTCACTAATAAAATAAATCAAATTGATTATAACTTCAATCAAACATCAAAATGTTTATGTACAAAAATAGAGTAACTTGACCGGTTCGGTCACGGGCTCGGTTCTTAAAACTATGAGAGTTTATTGAACCAATATCTTTGTGGTTTGCTAAATGTGTACCATTGCACTTCATGATTCAAAATTTACGTTGTTGCTCTATTAGTTCTGATAATCTTGCGTCAATGCCCTTAAGGGCCTGTTTGGGAAGAGCGTTAGAGATTAGCGTTAGCGTTTTGGATTAAATTTTAACGGTGCAGATTAATTTAAAAACGCTAACGCTAAACACTGGCCGTAGATAGCCTTTTCAAAACGCTAACGCTAATAACTAAAGCTATTCCCAAACAGGCTCTAAGACTCAAATACGTTTAAGATATTCAGGCGCTATCCGAAACTGGCACCATTAACCTCTCTCTCTTTTTCTTTATTAATTTTCTTTTTTCTTCTCTTTTTTTCATAAATGTCGGTAAGTTATTTTTCAAAACTTTTTTTTTCAAAATCTTTTAAAAAATAAAACTTATTTGTCTTTCAGATATTCAGGCGCTATCCCCTATGGCTTTGGAAACTGGCACCATTAACCTCTGTTTTTTTTCTTTATTATATTTCTTTTTTCTTCTCTTTTTTTCATAAATGTCGGTAAGTTATTTTTCAAAACTTTTTTTCAAAATTTTTTAAAAAATAAAACTTATTTGTGTTTGAAATAAAAAATGAAATAAAAAAAATTAACATATACTTCCTCCATCCAAAAATTTCTCTCTTGGTTTGACTTGACATAGATATTAAGAAAAGTTAAAAAGTGTAAAGACTTTTCATGTGATCCCCTTGATGTGATAAAATAAAGTAAATAGTGTAGAAAAAAATATTAATGAACAGAGGGAGTACGTCACTTGTCCCAAATTCAATATTTTCATTTTTTAATTTGTTTAATCATTTTAATGTTTTTTTTGTTTTTTTAAATTTGTTGGGACAAAAAGAATACACCATAATGACTTTTTTTTGGACCCATGCCAAATAGATTTCCTTGATGACTTAGTTTCCGTTTTCTATAAATGTATTTTTCATATATTTTTTCTTTTTCTTCATTTTCTTTTTTACTACTTATTTTATTATAATTTTGATTATAGTAGAAGAAATATTATAAAACTAGTTTTTAAAAAATTTAAAGAGAAACAAAATATATATAAAAGAAACCAAAAAATGAAAAGAAATTGAAAATGAGCTTCAATACAAGAAAAAAAGAGAGAATGTTTTATTGATTTGTGTTTCATAACTCATGAGAACTTTTTGTAGACAAAAAATAAAAAAAATTGAATTTGAGACAAATGTAGTGTGCATTTATTCTTTTTATTTCAAACACAAAAAATTTTGATTTTGAAACATTGTTTTACAATAGTTCAAAAAAATTTAAAAAACATTTATGAAAAAATAGAAAAAATGAAAAATAATTAATAAAAAAAGAAAGGAGGGATGATTGTGCTCATTTTCAAAACTATACGAGATGACAGAATTATTCACCTAATATTTGAAAGATATTTTATTGTAGAAAAGACATTGACCTATGAGTATCAAAACCACAAGAGACAATGATGTAAGTTTTAAAATTATGGAAGTGTAATGGTACACATTTACTAAACCACATGTAGTAATGGTGCAATAAACCGGGTGCGGGATGGGAACTTAATGCATGCAACTGAGAGGCAACCCATGTAACAAAAAATACAGAAGATGGCAAAAAATCAGCTTTCATCTCAAGTACTGTAATTCCGATTTATAAATTGGAAAAAGATAGTCCTTTCATAGCTTCTGGGTGACCATTGTGTAGTAGAAGACTTGAAGCTGAGCCCTACCTAAGACTGCTTGATTAAATCATTACTAGACAAAAAAAAAAGCCCCAGAAGAAATATGATAATATCAGCACTCGATTCTGACGGCTCCACTTTCAGAAGAGACGAACTTGGGCTTCCTGGTCACCTGCTCCATGCACTGGATGACGTCACCCACCTGGAAGTCGAAGCAGTTCTGGATGACCAGCCCGCACTCGGACCCTTTCCCGACCACCTCCACGTCCTGCTTCTCCCTCTTCAACGACGCACAGCACCCTTCGAAAACAAGCTCCCCGCTCCGGAGAAGCCTCATGGACGACGCCTTCTTCATGCGCCCATCAATCACCCGGCACCCGGCGATCTTCACATCGTCTCCCTTGGCTTTGCTCCTCCCTTTTGTCTCAAAGATGCTCAGCACCTGCGCTTCTCCCGCGACTTTAGTCTCCAGAGTCCCCGGAGCCTTTTCAACGATCAACTTCCCCACCTCCTCCAGAAGATGATATATCACGCGATGCAATATTATCTGCACAACAAACAAACCTCACAAGCTTCAGTGTGCTATAAAAGACTAACACTATGTTTGGTTCAAAGAATTTGAAAGAGAAGAAAATAGAATGATATGGGAAACAATTTTTCTTGCTTGGTTAGAGTGGAAAATAAGATAAAAGTCTGAGGAAAAGAGAATGATAATACAAAATGTACTAAGAGGAAAAATCAAATTTCTCCCATTTTGTGAGGGAAATGAGAGAACACCATTTTCTTTCCTTTTCCTTTCAAATTCTTTGAACCAAACATACCGTAAGAGTAGATAGATAGATCGAAAACATTGACCATTTTAGGAAGACTGCACGCACCTTTATGCCAGCTCTGTTAGCTTCCTGACTTAGAGAAGTGGGCGGATTTCTCACGTTGAAACCCACAATACATGCGCCACAAGCTTGTGCCAAATCTACATCGGACTCGGAGATTGGCCCAACACCACCATGGACAACCGTCACATTAACCTATTTTTCGCACACACAAACACTAGGGTTGAGTTTTCTCTAGCAAACAAACAAAAGAATACAAAAACAAAGAGTAGGCAATTTATTGGAGTACCTGGGGACTATCCAAGCCCTTTAACACATCCGTGACAGCTTGAACAGTGCCTTGAACGTCTCCTTTTACTATAAATGCCAATTCCACCCTCTTGGGCTTCTGCCTGTTTTCCTCCGGTGTTTCTGTATCGTCTGATTGCTCCTCATCTTGCTCCTCCACAAGTCTATCTGCTACCTTCTTATTTAGTCTATCTCTTTCATTTTTCTTTTTCCTTCCATCACTAAGCATCCTTGCCCTTTCCTCAGAATGCACCACGACGATATCATCACCGGCCATAGGTAGCCCTTTCAGCCCTTCAATCTCAACTGGCATTGAAGGATTAGCCTTCTCGGTCAATTTTCCCACCGTATCACGGATAGCCCTTATTTTCCCCCACTCTGCACCCACAACAACATGCTGGCCACAAACAAGTGTTCCTGTTTTCACTATGGCAGTAACCAATGGACCCCGTCCCTTGTCAAGCCTTGCTTCAACTACGTAAGCTTGAGCTGGCCCATCAGTACGTGCTTTCAAGTCCATAAGCTCAGCCTGCAGAAGTAAAGCTTCTTCTAAACTATCCAAACCGGTTCTTTTTACTGCAGACACTTCAACAACCTGAACATCTCCACCCATCTCCTCCAAGGGCAACCCTTCTGTTGCAAGCTGAACTTTCACTCTCTGTGGGTCTGCTGCAGGCTTGTCACATTTGTTGATAGCAACAACAATCGGCACATCAGCAGATTTTGCATGAGAGATTGCTTCAAGTGTTTGAGGCATGACACCATCATCAGCAGCCACTACCAACACAACTATGTCTGTTACTGCTGCACCTCTAGCTCGCATTGCACTGAATGCGGCATGGCCAGGAGTGTCAAGGAATGTGATTGATGCCCCTGAAGACATGCTGACAACAAATGCTCCCAAATGCTGAGTTATGCCTCCAGCTTCCTTAGCTGCCACAGAAGTTTGCCGCAGGGCATCCAAAAGTGATGTTTTTCCATGGTCAACATGACCCATCACTGTGACAACTGGTGGTCGTGGTAGGAGTTCACCGCCTTCAACTGAATGCTGCCTCATGACTTGAACTCCTACTTCCTGGGAAAACGAAACAACTTTAGCTCCTTCGGAGAAGAGAGGTAGAAACCGACCTATTATCTTAAGGAGAAATATAAACAATGAATAACTGTCCACGTGTGTGTGAGGGTGGGGTGTGGGGGTGAGGAAGAAGGGATGATTAGATGTTTAATTTCACTTGAACAGAAGGAAGACCATCTTACAAGAACAAACAACCAGGAATGAGGGTAAAATGATTTACTCATCCATAGCTACTACTAAACACGGGATATAAGTTATTTCCTGAGCTCACTAATGACACGTATACAAACTCAAGTTTTAAAATGTAAGAACTATTTACCATTGCAACTAGCTCAGCAACGTCAATACTGAGAGGGTCAAATTCTGATCCAATTTTCTCCCCCATATTTAAAAGGATATCCTGCACAACAGGTATAGATTCTCCACACCGCTTGGCAAGCTCAACAATAGTCATCCCTTCGAATATGTCAATTTTTCTCTCAGCTGATGAGCTGCCAGCTTTTTTTAGTTTGGGAGGTATGTAAGGTTTTTCAACAGGTGGGGCAGTACTCTTTGTCCTTTTCTTGAACTTTCCTTTCTTTGCAGTCTTTGATCCCAATGCTTCATCATCAAATCTCCTACCAAGTGCTTTTGGAGTGGCATGGAAAGTCCTAATGACAAACTGTTAATGATACTCCAGAGATTCTTTCTTTACAAATCATGCAAATAATTTTATCCAATATCTTCATTTTTCACAAGGGCAAAGCCATTAATTTTCACTTCAGAGAATTTACTTAAGAGAGGTCAGTCCAACTTAAATAGTTAAATAAAGCCTTATCCCTATCTAATAGAACTCTGCAAGTTATAGCACATTGTATAGCAAAGCGCAAGCAATTGAAAAGGGACCCGGGGTGGGTGGGTGGGGGGAGCATGCATACAGTCACATACCAGCATTCAATTCAAACTCAGATTCTAGTAATGATATACTTGTCTCAATCTTTCTTCCTAACAGATGAACAAAAGTTCATTTAACATCTCTTCAATCCATTCACGGCTCAGACTCACTTAATGTAAGAAACTATTTAACCAGCTTTTGTAGTGATAACAGATGACTTAACACTTCCCCATTATTTTGATCAGTTCTAAGAGAAATATGATTGCACACAACCCCGTATTATATAGAAGAAGCTCACATTCTTAGTTGTCAATCCTTCTTTACACAACTTCTACAAAGTTGAAATTATTAAAACATCCGAATAAGTAAAACTGTGCATACAATTAATTTCCCTTCCCTTATAGATAATGATTAATGAGTGTTTTACTTATCATTCATACTCTCTCCACAAAAAGAAACATATTTAAAAGTACAAACAGGATTTCAGGGCTGGCAAAATGTTTCACTAGAAAAGCTTACAACATCATCTTTGCACTGTAAATAAGGAAATGCAAGAAATAATGTGTTGATGTACCTTATAAATGTCTTATTGGAACAAGTGCCAGCATTTCCTGCCAATAACTCCGGACATAGATAATATCCTGCAAACAGATTTCAATTCAAATACACAAAACTCATGTAAGCACACCTCACACTTGCCCACCATTTGTCTTTTTACTCTTTTCTTAAGATCTCAGGAGATTAGAATAGTTAAGAAGGAAGGTCCTGCAATTTTTTTTATCCGTGCAAACACAACCCGTATATGTGGAATCGATAAAAATAATCATACCCATATGCCATAGTTTTAAAAATTTGTAAACAAAGGCTGGTCAAGGGACAACATCGAATGATTGGAATCAGATGTGTTACACATACCCTCCGTATATCTAGCCAAAATGGTAAGTGATCTTAGCGCCTCACTTAGATTGGGGGACACCAATACTGCTGCTTCATTGGATGTCAATGTCAAGTTTTTCCTGAGACAAGAAAACATACACTGCAAAAGAACAAGGTGAGTATTATATATCATATTTCTTCAAAGCATATAAGACTTTAGCAAATTGTATGACTCTAAAACATCTTTGAACTTTTTTTCATTTCCCAGCCAGTCATATCTTGACAAAAAGAAAAAATGTGATTTTCAAGGTTATAACGAATATTGTCATAAACATACCCTTGTGTTGTCCAATTATCGGACTTATGGCAATGGATATGACATGGTGGAAGGTGGTGGCGGAACAAGAGCAGGGTGTCATGAAATTTGGCAGAATTTATCCTAACCAAAATAATCTGCCAACTACCAGAAATAACGTGCAGAGAGTTTCCCTATTCCCTATTGATTTTCTAGGGGTTAGAAGTAACAAACAAAAATGAAATAAAATTGAGGGTGTAACTTAGTCATTTAGTATGTTTTACATTTTGTGAATAAAATGCCTTTACTAAGGGTCTGTTTGGAAAGGGCTAAAAGTCATTCTCCCTCATTTTCTGGTGTATGGTAAAATTAGAAAATGATAGTCAATAGAAATTGAGGACATGCTCTTAGAAAAATTTGGACAAACATAAAGAGATTGTCTTCCCCTATTATAACCCGGAAGTGATTTGCATTCCCTGTGCCAATATGTTTCTTCTTTCTTCTTGGCTGTTTTTCCATCTTTCTTCCCTACTGAGTGACCTGCGTCCATTCCCATTTGTCAGCCGCTTCCGTACACTGCTAAGAAGTTCTGAAATCCAATCATATACGCCTGAATCTGGTATCACCAAGTCGCCGGAGCAGGTAAATGACTGCAGATCCAAAAGAAGTGATCATCTATATTTTGGCTCTTGATACAGAAATCCCTTATCTGAAGCAGTGGGTGAAAATTAGGGTTCTCTCTGACTTGTTCCAGATCTGCGCGACCATGGTTTCTGCTGACTATATCCTCAAGACGTTTTTCATTCTCTTTAATTTTACACGTACTTGATTTTCAGGAAATTAAACAAACGAAAATAGGCCGTTTTCAAATTCCCAACCCAACACCAAAAAAGGAAAATGACTTTAGGAAAATGACCCATTTTCTAGAAGTTACTTTCCTGGTTCCCAAACAAACCCTAAACGGAAGTTATTTAGGGTCTGTTTGGAAAGGGGGGAAATGACTTAATTTTCCCCATTTTCCGTTGTTTAGAAATAACAGAAAATGAGAGTCAATGGAAAATGAGCATTGCTCAACTGGAAAATGGAGGTTGTTTTTTGGAATTTGTCTTCCGGATTTTTTTGGAAGTCATTTTCTGTTCTCTTCCAGCCTTCTTCAAACTTTTCTCTTGCCTGACAATCTCTATCTTCTCATTGCCGTCTTATTCTCAGTCTTCTTCCTCCTCACAAACCTAGAGCGATTCCGGTCGCACCTCCAAACACAGGTCTTGATGGTTCTACATTCCAGCGATTCTAAATTGCCAAAAATTGTACTGTTCACAATTTTTATACACATCCATTATCTATGTTAGCTTTGTCCTTGTTTTGGGTTTCGGCTTTTTTTAGATCAGTTATTGGCTATTTTTATCAACAACTGGAACCAGAGACTGGGTTTTTAGTTTTACGTCTGCCGGGTGTTTGATAAAATGCCTGAGATAAATTAACTCAATTTTTTTTAAGATACTCGTTTTCTAGAAATGAAACAAACGAAAATGAACCATTTTCAACTTTTAGCCAAAGGCCAGAAAAGGAAAATGACTTCAGGAAAATAACTCATTTTCTAGAAGTTATTTCCTGGTTTCCCAACAGACCCTTGAAAACGTAGGGATAAACCATGGAATTTATAATTGGCCATTTTCAGTCAAATTTTTCATTCATTACACAACATTGTAGATTTGTAACATGTCTGAAATAAAAACTCACATGAAGAATCATGAATGAGATACAATAGTATCAATGAACTAGAAATACACATCACCTTAGAGCACTATGCTCCAAATTTAGTTCATTTACTGAAGATATTTTCAAAGTAGGTGAATAAGTAATCCTTCTAACCAAATATCTGTGACTTTTTTTATTTGTTGGAAAGATATTACTACAAGCACAGAATATCAAGTTTTATGAATAAAACATACTCTCTCTGTCTAAGTGTATTCGTCCAGTTTGACTTTTTCGAGTCAAATTGAATGAACTTTAATCATCAATTACTCTTAATTTGTATTACATATTGATACAATAATTTAAATATTTAATAGTTCTCAACAAGATAAACCTATTGAAATAATTTTTATACCAAAATATATTGCCATTTTTATTTAATTGAGATCTAAAGTTCGTCTAGTTTGACTTGAAAAAGTCAAACAGGATGAATACACTAGGAAGGCGATAGTATAAAAGAGATGATTTTATAAATAACTGAGATGATTTCAAATATTCATGTGCCACAAGATGTAATTGTGAATCAGAAATTGCACCTTTTTCCCTACAACTCTCCACGCCATTCATATGGTCAAACCTTTGCACCTTCAAACAAGAAAGAAATAGAAGCTAAATAATATTCCATTTTAGTTAAAAACTAAAAATACTTATATATATTTGATAAGTGAGGCAAAGCAAAAGTAAAACAACCAAAATATGCCAAGGAAATAAATATAAAAGCCAAGCTCCAGAGCCAATAAAGAATGTAAACAAAGCGCATGTGAAATGCAACATAATTGAAGAAGATGAAACCTGAAAAAGGGAATTCAGATTTTTATCATATTCTGCATCCAAGTCCTTTTACTAACCATTTGATAAACTTTTAAACCATGAATAGGTGGGCATGATAGAAGAAAAGGATGAGTTGTTGGGCAATATTGAAAAAAATTTCAAACCCAGAATTTGTAATTCAGATTATATTCATTAATAAGTTCAATACGAAAGCAATAAAACAAATATCCTAACAAGTCAAAGGCTATAGGATTCGAAATTCTTCCACTTCTAGCCATGGGAAAGAGAGGGGTTCTTCATCTATCACAGGGATCTCTTCATATCTCTAACGGAACACAGCTAGGTCAGATGCAAAACGAGTTTAGGGTATCGGGAATGTTGTTTAGAAAAGTTCCGAAAGGGTAACTTGTTGATGATGGGTGGCAGTTTCTAGCAGCAAGTTTGACGGGTTTTTAGAAAATATGATTTGCACATGACGGAGATAAAGGATGCATGTGACAATACAGAAGCATAGAGCAGGGCTCGTCCTGTGTACTTTGTGGCTTATGGACAAGTTTTCGTCATGGGGCCTATCTTAAAAATTAAAAATTAAGAAACATACTTTTTGAGCAATTAAGTATAATAAAAACATGTAAGTAAAATATTGAGATAGGAATCACTTCAATAATCATCATATAAATAGCAAATTTTAAACAAAGTGGCAATACAATATAACAATGGTAGACTAAAAATTACAAAATTACAAATATTATCTCAAAACATTTCTTGAAGAACATTCTGAAGCAAAATTGCCAACGATACCATCATCATCATCAACATTTCCTAACATGTTATGCTCCGTAGTTAATATTTCCAATCCATTCAACCTTTCTTGAGACATAGTTGATCGCAAATAGTGTTTAAGAGTCTTCAACTTTGAAAAGCTTCTATCAATTATCAACAACATCATCGAAATCATTGGCAAGGTTATAATGACACATTGACACTAGCCTCTCGTGTCATAATATGACATGGGGAACCTACAATGGTTCCTACCCGTGGTACCCTGTGTCATATTATGATGTTGGAGCACAATGTCATTATAACCGCACCGCTAAATAACTGTTGTGTTAAATAGATAGCCAAGGTTCTAACAAAATCACAAATCTCAATGGTTGTGTCTTTATCATTCGACAAAAACTTTTGCAACATTCTCAATTTGTAGTTAAGATTCATCATTAACGGGACAATTGGGATTCATTTTTTACCAACCTTTCATGTTATCATTTTAAATCAAAAGAGAATTTGGTAGTTGTGATCCATCTTTAATGGGACAGTTGGGATTCATTTTCAAAAAAAAATCCATTGATCTTTTTTTACTTAATATTGCTTCTCTGATACCTGAGTATATTTTCCTCTCTTTATGCATGTTCGCAAGGATAAAACAACAGCAATAAAACGACAAATTCATTTTACTCGTATGTGTGTTTGGTGTATAATGATTAAGAACGTGTATGAGCCTCTACGCTATACTTATGAGTTATGCCTTACAAAATTAGATATACAAACAGTCAAACAACAGAAAATTGCACAAGAATCAATAATTATATGCCTCATTCTGATTTCTGAATCTTAATTACGCATAAGAGAAATATTAAAAAAATAATCACTAATCTGACTAAAGAAATGAATGTTAAAGAAAGCATTCTAAAGTATAAAGATTGAAAAAACACTCATTACCTTAAGGTCTTGAAGAAGTGATTTTATGCTTCGACCATCTTCAGCTTGTTGCATCAGTACTCAGCAAGTCGATCTAAGACTGACATAAGTGCTTTGTCTAGTTTGAGATTTTCAGAATTCGCTGCTTGAGTAGTGCCTTCCGTCAGGGCCGGTCCTGAAAATTCAAAGGCCTGGGCCGAGATAAAAAAGGCCTAAAAAGTCTTTTCCCTACTGGTCTAATAAATTAAAGTATGTAAATTAATTATGTTTAAATGACAATTAACATAATAGTATCATAAGAAAAAGAGTAAATGCCAATCTACTTAATCACAGTTTATTCTCTCTAAGTTTTCATTCTTGATAGTTATTATCGTCAATCTACTAAGCCTTTCTTGGGACATTGCGCACTTTAAGTAAGATTTCAACAACTTCAAATTTAGAAATTCTAACACTTAATAAAATCAAACACAAAGTTTAAATTTCCAAAAAAAAAACAAATTTTGAATATCATAGCAATTCAAGAAATCAATTCATATCAATTCATCTGTATCAAATAAAGAACATATGAAACTATAAATTCATTCATATTTCATAGCAATTAGCAAAGATATCATATTATAGAGTATTAATTTATAAAGTCCATAGAATTAACAAGTAAAAATATCATAATATCAAATGCATTTAGTCATTTTCCATAAGCAGCAATATACAAAAACCCACAAACAAATCTCAATCCCCACCAAAATCACATTTGATAATGGTAAACACAATTGGAACCAATTGTTTAAATTTCATACCAATAATTACCACATTCAAACAAAACAAAAAGTCCAATTCAATTCCATTTTAGGTTGGAAATTTCAACCGCACAAAAAAAAACCGATTATGAACTCACAAATATATTGTACCTTTATTAACCTAAGTTCACCTCAGGAAATCATCAAACACTTTCAAGTGGCCGACTGCTCGCTTCTCTGTCTCTCTAATTTCCGGAAATTGTCCAAGGCCGAAAGAAGAGGGGAGTCTGGGGCCGGGAACGAAGGGAGCTGTTTTATACTTTTATTTTGGAGTTTGGGTTATTGGGCTTCTTATATATAAGATTTAAAAAAGTTTGGGCCCCTTAAAATGATAAATTTAAAAAAATTAAATTTTCTAAGGCAACCTGATAAATTTAAGAAAATGAATGGAATTTTTGAAGAACATGTCAAGGCTAAATGACTAAATCATATACTCCGTAATATTCTACAATGGCGCTGTTAGAAAACGTCCTCATGAAGTTCTTGAAGTAAAGGCTTTGTGTTTTAGGGTAAAACATAGGAAATGAGAAGGATAACCCAAAGAAATTCCAAACCGAACCTGGAGAATCGCTGAACCGGAGATGGGGAATCAGGAAAAGGGATTGCAGATGGATCCTAAATTGAATCTTGACCCTCGCCGGAGTTGCCCTCTCGGTCCGGTAGCTCCACCGACTCTCTCTGTCTCCTGGTAGGTTCCGACTCTCGCCTCTCTCTGTCTCAGGATCGCAAGGCAGATTGGCGCAGTGGAAGCGAGCCGTGCCACCCGTCTTCGCGCCGCTTCAGGTTCAGTCTGCCACCTTCCAAAGCTATGTAAAGGAAACAGCTAAAAATGAAAACCCTAAACCGTTAATCTAATATTTTTTTAGAATCATACATTTTAATATGAAATATAATGTTATGAAAATAAAATTATAATTATATTTCTTTACTTACTACTCATTTTTTGTATATAGATTTATACCATCATACCAAATTTTAATGACGTCGCATAATTATCTTACATTTTTTCAAAATCTCTACATATTTAATTTTTTTATTCGTAATATTAACACTAAGTCATAAAAATTAGAAAAAATTTCATAAAAATAAATGAAACTCAAAACCCGTTGGGTCATAGAATAGGGACATATTGATGTGCACAAAATATAAACTTTCTCTTTTGTCTCAATTTAATCCTTCTATCTTTCCCTTCATAAAAGAAAATGAATCTTTCCTAGCTAATAGTCCATGGCATCTACTTACTATATATTGTGATGAATTTTTTTTATTCTTTAAATAAGAATAAAAAATATTTTCATTTCTGTGAAAAGATCAACAAAAAATTTGTAAATTTTGTATAATTTTTTTTACAATTATTTTTTACAAATTGGTAGAGGAATAAAAAATACAAATTACTTATTTCAAAACTACATTTAAAGTTCTATGAAATAAATTGTGACAAAACTACACTTTTATTTCATAAAAATAAATGAAACTCATAACCCGTTTGGGTCATAAAATGTCAACCCAAACTCGATAACACTGGGTCATAACTCATTAACATGTAGTTATCGAACCCGAACCCGACCTGACCGACCGATTTGTCAGATCTAGGGGTAACAATCACAAGTCAAATGTAAATAAAAAATCTACAAAGCCTTATATATTCGCAATACCAATCATGGGCCTAGCTTTTTTGCCTTCTTTCCTAGGCCTGAGGAAAAAGCCCAAGTTACCATAGAGTAATCTTGAGAGCATCTCTAACTCATAGTGGAAAAAGTTTGCACTCTCAACACTCTTTTATACATTTAGAGGGTGTTTGGCAGTGCGCTGATTTTAGTAATTTAGTTTCTGCTTTGAGTGGAAGTGATTTTATTCTGTTTGGCATGTCAGCTTCTACTTTTCACCACCACTATTTTATACACAGAACACCGTTTTGGAAAAGCATGTATGAGGTGCTTTTGCTTTCAGCTTTTGTAAAAATCACTTTATCCAGAAGTTAATCACTCCCAAACAAGCTCTTAGTCTTTTAGGCTCACTTCAATCATACTCCCTCTGTCCACAATTAAACTTCCGACTTTCCTTTTTCATTCGTCCACAAATAAACTTTTCATTTCTATTTTAGAAAAGTTTTTAGGAAGGAAATGTCCTTCCTACCCTCGTCCCATCTTCTTCCTCTTCCTTCTTTCTTCCTTTCTTCGTCCGTTTTTTTTCATTCTTCATTTTTTTCTTTCTTCATCTTCCTTCTTTCGTGCTTTTTCTTTCTTTATTTCTCTTTCTTTTTCTTCTTTCTCTTTCTTATTCCTCTTTCTTCTTCGGTCCATTGATTTTTTCTTCTTCAATTTTCTCTTTCTTCTTCCTTTTTCTTCTTCTTTCTTCTTCATTTTTTTCTGTTCCTTCTTTTTCTTTCTTCTCTCGTCAACCAGATCTAACAAATTGCATCTTCTTCATATTCTTCCATGACGATATTGGATTGCATCTTTCGCCGGAGTTAGATTGTCACCCCACTACGAGATCTGACCAGATCTAGATCTGGTCAGTAGGCAGCAGCGGCGGGGGGCTTTCGATGGCGAGGGGGCAGCGGCGGCGGGGGCTTTCGACGGCGAGGGGACAGCGGTGGCGGGGGCTTTCGACGGCGAGGGGCAGCGGCGGCACGGGCTTTTGATGGCGTGGGGCTGCAAAGGCACCGCCGGCGGTGGGGTGCTAGATGTCATTGGGAGGAGAGGGCTAAAAGCTTGAAGGGTATAGTAGGAAAGTCAACCCAATTTTCATTCCACATAAATTTGCGCATCGAGTCAAACTAGGAAGTTTAATTTTGGACGGAGGGAGTATCTTTTATATAATACACTTTAATAATATTTTATTACTTTAAAGTATTTTTTATAATAAATATATTTAATTTTTGGTTTAATTACAATCAAATTTATGATATACACAATCTAACTGATCTATTTTGATACTTTTTCTATGTTTTACTCCTACTTATGGTGATTTCTTTTTCTTTTCTCTCTTGATTATCTATCTATCACTCTTATTATTTTATTACACTTTTATTAATAGCTAGTCTTGTACAACCATGGGTCCATGTATATATAGATGATGAAGCTCTAGATATAGCTCATACTCCTGATAGGTTTTAAGTTGGTTGATCTATTGTAGCCCAAAAAGATGAACGGTAAAGATTAAGGAGAGTGCATTCAACCCCAGATTTTGTGATTTTTTTGGATTTTAGAATTTAATGAGTATGAAATTGAGATTTTAAGTATTCAATTTGGATTTTAAATTGTCTATCAAAATCCAATGGTATTAAACATTTTATAGATTTTAAAGGATTTTTATTATAGGTAGATTTTGATGGATTTCACACTTATTTTTCTTAATAAAATTATTCTCACAAATCTCTCGCCCCAACCATGGATTTTCAAGCAAACTTTAGCCTCGGAGATATACAGGTACTTCACAGTTTCTGCTTTGTTACTGTTGTTGTGAGCTTTCCACCATAATCATTGATTGAGCTCTAATCTTCCGTTCATTCATTGTTCATCTTCAATTGCATATTTGTACGTGCTTTTGTTCCTCCTCTCCCTTATTCTTTGTTATGGTGCTTGCATAGAATCACACAATTGAACAAAATCCTTCAAAATCCTCATGATGAAATCTTTTAAAATCTATCTAACTCATGTATTTGGTCATTTCTCCCTTCGGTATATGTCATCTCATGACTCCATCCACTCTAGATGATGCCCATGTTTCATGTGTATGGGACTATGGGCCTCCCTCACGCCAAGTTTGGTCACTCTATCAAGCTTGGCCCAACTTGCTTAATTAAAATTATCTTGAAGTATATAAAATATACTCTGTGTTGAAGTGAGACTCAGTTCACCCCTTTTCCATTGTCCAACGTCTCTATATATGAGGCGGGATTAGGGTTCACAGTTGAAGCCCAAAGGGCCCACAATACATGAACTACAAAGTACAATACATAATACATATTATATCTACACGATAGCAAACAATTTGCAGTTCCCTTTAACACCCCCCCTTGTGCTGAGTTGTAGATAGAAAAGTAGATGTCTTGTTGCCTCATAACGCCTCTTCAAGTAAAAAAACCTCTTGGGAAAAATAACCTTGAGCGAACAAAAAGAGTACAACTTTGTGTAGAATATGGAAGGATTCCTCCACTGATTGTTAACTTCTGTTTGCTTCATATGTTGATCAATAATATTTACATATATCATTGCCTAGTTAAAGGCTTTTTCCAAGCAACAAACACCCGATGGGAAAATAAATATTGGCATAAAGGAGTATTATAACATGGGTGCTTGACTCCCCCTAGAGTCTACACCTGCCCCTGATAATTACATCAATCAATAGGGTCACACATATGCACTTTTATATTTCTTTTGAATTCAAGCATAAATTACCTTTGATGATGACACTAAATAAATTTTCTCAAATCAATATTGTCCTGTGTGCCAATAAAATCGAAGAGCGATGCATTCCTATTGCCTCATTAAAACCTTGCCAAGTAAAAAAACCCAATGTGAAAAATAAAACTTTGTCATAGGAAAAAGAGTACAATGCATCAATATGGTCAATGATAATTAGAACTCTTTCTAAAGTGTTGTATGCATTACACTGATATGTTCTTATACCAATGACACTCATAAGACGTTACATTCGTGATATCATAATGTATCCCATGGAATATGCATTACTAATTTGGGATCTTTGTTTATGAGGGTCAATGTGTCTCTGACCTTATCAAAACCGTCAAACAAGTTACTTTATGTTTACGGGTTACTCATACACATTTTCATTAGGAACAATATTATCATCAATCACTAAGTTTAACTTGGGAATGAATAATATCCACGTCAACAACGAACATCAAAATGTATTCTCGATAATGATTGGATGACTATGCATTATAATTGTCCTAGTATAGTTCAAGCTAACAAGTTCAATGAGAATACAATATTAGTTCAAGTGCAGTAATGCACTTTTGCACTCGTATTGGGAATTTCTTATCTCGATAATTCTTCAATACATTCATTTGATTGAATGGATAATTTCTTGTATCCATAGTTCAAATCGATCATGAGAGTGCTAATAGGTTACATTAACCACATTATTCGCCTGAGAATATTTGAGTATATGTAACCTGGTGATTTAATGTTTCACCAACTCTATACTTAGTATCTAAGGTAATAGAGTTTCTCAAGATCTATCATCTCATATACAGATTTCAACTATCGAAGGTTTGCTCATATTTCATTTAGAGTACCATAATAATAGTTGTAAAGTGATTATGGATATACCTATAAGTTTTTTTATGAACAAAAGTACATTTAAATTGTGAAGAATTCCAAACTGTTGAACATTCACATATAGACAATATAGAACAGTAAAATGAGCATAACTAAGGGCTTGTTTGGTGAGTTTTCGAGATAGGATAAGATATAGATTACGAAATCTTGAAAAATTGAGGGAGTGACCGGCAACAGGATGGTTGGTGGTGACTATGTTAGAGCTGGCAGAGAATGATCAATGGTTTAGATAAATATCAAACCCCTATATTGACATCTCCTAAATTCGAGAGATATCGAAACCTTCCATTTTGAATATTTCATTTTGGGTTTGTCTTCTTTATATCCCTTTCCAGTCAAGTTGTCTCTTCATATGGATATACCTTTTTAATCTAGACTATTTCAATCTCGGAAGTGAATGTTTCATTCTCAATGAGAACGTACTCAATGGTAAAGTGAATTGACTTGGGTTATGAAAGTACATCAACTACTTTCAAGTTTCAAAAATATCTCTCAATCAAGATCCCTATTGAGATATTTATAACCCACATTCGTTATTTGCATCTCTTATACTTTAGAGGACTAAGTAGTAGAACGATATAACGTTCAATATAGGAGGATATGTCTCCCTTTGGATAAATCCAGGGCGCTCGTGAGAAACTCTCAAAGCCTTATACTTCCTCAATCGCTTTATGACAAAGACTAGTTTATGTCCTACAGGCTTTACACTTGATCGGTTAGCACTTACCGCACCAAATACCGGTCTCTTTGTCGAAGAATCAAGTTCTACCTGGATTACATATATTCATTTAGGTCAATGCTCTTTGTTATTTTACTACAATAGAGCTAGGTTCGATATCATCGTGCTATGTAATTACTTGAGCCACGATATAAGAATATACATTGTCAATATAAGTGCAAGCTCTTTACATCAGTGCATACACATTCTCATAACCATTTAGATTGAAATTTCCCTGGAATCTAGCTACACTTTGGAACGTCCTCCAGTAGTGATTCTTGGACATAAATCGGGGATAATTTAATGAGATAGATGACAAATGTACTAGGTTGTGCCTTCATCACACTCTACACTTTAAAGTGGATAGTTAATCGAACCAAGTCATCTCCGATCCCCCTATTCCTTTAGACAGTCACGACCTTAACCGTACTCCCACTTTGTACGGTTGCAATGCTTCTTCCTTTAGCACTGTATCCCTTACTAGGGCTTTAAACCTTGCAGACATAGTTACAACAAGTTTATAAGATCTAGTCACTTTAAGAATGTTATATCGATGAGTCTTTTAACTCACCATCATATTGTGATGTTTGGGGATCAATATTGAGACAGAGCAGGGTCATTTTTACAAAACTTCTTGCCGTTCCCTTAGAGAATCTTTTCTCTTATCTCCCCCTAACGACGGGAAGACTGTCTCAATAAAGTGACAAATCACTAGTGTAATGGTATCTGCCAAGGTTTAATAATGGCGGATCATAGTTGGAGATCCATGTCCAATATGATTACCATTGTGTTAGAGACCCATTATTGTGTGTTGTGGGTAACACAGTAGGCACATATACTTCAAAACCAAATATGTAGAAAGTAAAATCTCAGGCTAATATCCAATTACCAACTGGTATGCATAAAATTGGTTTAATAGTATTGGGTCAAACACAAATTAGTATAGCTGCATGCAAAAGTTATTTTATCCCATGATGTTATATACATGTTAGTGCGCTTAATAAATATCATAATCCCCATCTAAGTTCTTTTAAATGTGATTGAAATGATACCATTGTTTCATACGGGTATGCGATACTTACTTTGATCCCAATAAAAGTGCAATAACAATCAAATATTTTTTTATGGGCTTTTCTGGTTTTGACAAATATTATGTATACTTGATGGGGTGGTGAGTCCTCAAAATGATTTTAGAACTTTTGCAAGTGCAATATTATGTGGACAATAAATATATGACTAGTGCGTTAATTTGACCTCTACGCTTAGATGATCCACATTGTATATACTTAAGTCTACATTAACATATGTTTTTTTGTAAGAATGAGATTCTCACAGTTAATTTTATGTGGAATGACAACAACTGACATAAATACAGTTTATAAGCTAATAGGCGTCAAAGGTCTCTAGGTGCGTATAGAGGCTGTGGAAAAATATGTCTTTACACATATACAATGGCCTTGCAGATTATAATCTCATAATCACATATGAATGATAAAGAATAAATCTAACGAGTCATATAATCTGTTGGAATGCATGAGTTCAACCCTTTCTGTATTGTTTAGTGTTGACTCACAGGTTTTGATAATTGACAAGCACAATTCATTCAAGTCAAGATTAAAGTGCTACAATGACAAACACGAAGACTTGAAGTGACATTCCTTGAAGTATTCAAGAAGGTGCACAGGATTTTGTTGAAGTCCGAGACGCGTTCGGAGCGCCTAACGGAGGACTCGGAGGAGCAGAAGATTTCCGAAGGATTTTAAATAAAATTTTAAAGGACACCGCTAGATAGTCTTTTCTAAACACTAATGTCAAACTCTAATGATGTTGTCAAGCCAGACCAATAATTCAGCCGCCATATCATATCCTACTTTTATCACAACAAATGCTCCAGTATAATGGTGATAAGACTAAAAACAAAGGAAAAAATCATTTCAAAGTTCAAACATTTATTTATTTTTCAGATGAATTATAAATTTACTGGAAAAATGAACATATAGTCCTAACTATTCCAAAAACAAAACACAGTTCTAGTAATTAGCTCCCACTTCACCTCTGCGGGGTGGGTTTGTAAAGCACAGTGGTAACATATTCGGAGCCAAGCCGTTCCGTTGTTGACACGACAATGGCTTCCACATGAAGTGATCGGCCTCTGTTTTGAGCAACCGTGTACACATGGTTTTGAACCACATGGTTGGGTGGCGGCGACGAGGATGAGGCATCTCCACCTCTTGTGCTCATTTTGTTTAACACACACGTCTTCAGATGTGGAGGGAGCCACTGAGGTCCCCGTTTTTCCTCTTCTTCCGTGATGTAGAAGATATTGTCGTAGCTTGACTCCGGGGATGGTGGGGTTTCAAACAATGGCCTTGCAGATTATAATCTCATAATCGCATATGAATGATAAAGAATAAATCTAACGAGTCATATAATCTGTTGGAATGCATGAGTTCAACCCTTTCTGTATTGTTTAGTGTTGACTCACAGGTTTTGATAATTGACAAGCACAATTCATTCAAGTCAAGATTAAAGTGCTACAATGACAAACACGAAGACTTGAAGTGACATTCCTTGAAGTATTCAAGAAGGTGCACAGGATTTTGTTGAAGTCCGAGACGCGTTCGGAGCGCCTAACGGAGGACTCGGAGGAGCAGAAGATTTCCGAAGGATTTTAAATAAAATTTTAAAGGACACCGCTAGATAGTCTTTTCTAAACACTAATGTCAAACTCTAATGATGTTGTCAAGCCAGACCAATAATTCAGCCGCCATATCATATCCTACTTTTATCACAACAAATGCTCCAGTATAATGGTGATAAGACTAAAAACAAAGGAAAATATCATTTCAAAGTTCAAACATTTATTTATTTTTCAGATGAATTATAAATTTACTGGAAAAATGAACATATAGTCCTAACTATTCCAAAAACAAAACACAGTTCTAGTAATTAGCTCCCACTTCACCTCTGCGGGGTGGGTTTGTAAAGCACAGTGGTAACATATTCGGAGCCAAGCCGTTCCGTTGTTGACACGACAATGGCTTCCACATGAAGTGATCGGCCTCTGTTTTGAGCAACCGTGTACACATGGTTTTGAACCACATGGTTGGGTGGCGGCGACGAGGATGAGGCATCTCCACCTCTTGTGCTCATTTTGTTTAACACACACATCTTCAGATGTGGAGGGAGCCACTGAGGTCCCCGTTTTTCCTCTTCTTCCGTGATGTAGAAGATATTGTCGTAGCTTGACTCCGGGGATGGTGGGGTTTCAAACCCAGGGACAATTGGTTCATACTGCACACATATAACATGCATTCATTCAAATCTATTAGGAACCCAGAAAAACCTTATCACATTTCCAAACATAACCTCAAGAAAGGTTCAACGAATGCCATCATATAAAGGGTATGATTTTAAAAAAACATGGCATTCACTAAACCCTTCTTGGGCATTTTGATACGCTTAATTAGACTCTCTGCTTACTTCATTTCCGACTTATTGTGGGTTGTTCATTTTGAAGAAGATTAGAGACATAGAGACCTTGGCAAGGATGAATATCCGGTCTTAAATGGAAGAGCCTCAAAACAGATACTGTTATTCTGTAATGTGAACAATAGCTTTCAAAATATAGTCATAACTTATAGCCAAATGTACAAAATCCACATATGCACACAAAAGTTCAGTCAAGAACAATCCCTAGCATCCTTGCCACATTTGGAAGAAAACACAAAACAAACAGAAATGGTGATTAATCAACATACTAAGAATTGATTATCTTCTTCTTCAAACAAACTCTTCAATGAGTTCCCTTTTTATCATCCTTCTCGAATGAGTTTGATATTGTTTGAAGAGAAACCCTTGTATTTATAGAATGTGTTACCAACATTAATGAATAATTTAACCCCATACATACAAAATATTAAACAGACATGTTTCTACACCGTTAATCTCAAGTGCCAAGTGTTAGCTATACGCGGTGATCATGGGCAACACACCGAATGTATTATCTTTTCTTTTCTAAATTAAGATGTTAAGTGCCAAGTGTTAGCAAATGCGCCATTATGTAATCAATAGAATATTTCCTTACCCAAAACTATACCAAGCCATATGCAATCAATATGTAGTGTTAAATCTAACACTAAGTCTAAAAACCTATTTTGGGCCTCATAATACAATATTGAACTTTTGGTTTAGTTTCTTAAGATGACATCACAACCTTTGACCCAAAGGTTAAGGATTCAAATAGCATTGTTACCTAGATTTTAAAAACTAATGTTCAAGGCAAGGCTTGTGTATAAAACAAATTTCTTTATGATATGAGGGGCATATTAAAGTAAAAAAGCCTTTATTGGGCCTCAAAGCTTGAGGGTCTGTTTGGTATACTGAATTGATGGAATTGGAATTGAATTGGAACTGAAATCTCATGGGATTCAATTCCATAAAATTGAATTCACCAATTCCAATTCATTTTTTGCACTATCAATTCCAAATTCACATAATTTTTGTGCTACCAAACAAATACAGATTATTAAATTAATGGGATGATTTTCTATTTTATCATCAACTCAAAATTGGACATTTTTTGTTCTTAGATTTTAAGGGATAACTTTCAGTTTCCAATTTTCACTTGCAAATCACGTTGATTGTTTTTTATTTGTTTTAGATTTATATCGAAAAATGGTAGGAAGCATTTGCAAACCATACTTATGACTTTATGAGAATGTTGTGTGTGTGTGGCTCTAACTTATTTTAATATAGTCTTTTTACTCTTGAGAGCATAGGAAGGCCTTAGAACATTGTTTCCCCAAACCTAACACTTGAGTGAGATATAGCGGATTTGTTTGGTTATGTTTACTTAGAAACTACAATTTCATCCAATAACAGGGCAGAGGGAAAAAACTTAAAAATTTCATATGGAACTATATAAAATATTCTACTAACTAGTAACCACTTAGAATCAACAAGTATCACCCTTTTAGCATAAGTTTAGATAAGTTCACTATTGATGATTGTGGACGCTTGGGTGTGTGAATTTCTTTTCTCTGTAAAAAAAAAGAGCTCACTGTTTTTGAGCAAGATTGAATCTTCCATTGTAAAAAAATCCTTACAACAGTAGTTTAAAGGTTTTAGAATGAATTGACACCCTCCATCCAATGCATCTTAAAAAACCAAATGACCAGACCAAAACTGTCCAATTGTGAAGCCAATAATCAAATTAAACCTACACACACATAATCCTACCATGCATATTCAATCAATTAAACTGGGCATTCAAACAGCTAAACAACCCGACAAATCTATCTAGAAAAAGATGATGAAGAAGAAGAAGAAGAAATGGACCTTGAAAGAGTAAAACAGAGGAGCAGAAGAAGTGAGTGGGGAAGTAGCCATCTTCCCTTACTTGTAACGACCAAAGAAGCATGAGAAAACAGAGAAACGAATAGGATTGAGAAGAAATTAAGCAGGAAATTCAAGGGTGAAGAAGCGTTAAAGCATAAAGAAGCCATGAAATGAAATTCATAAAAATAAAAATAATACTTAGATTTTTTAATGTTAGATTTATATGGAAAATGCCAAAATGGTAGGAAGCTTTTGCAAACCATACTTATGAATATGGGGTGTGTGGTTTTCACTTATTTTAGTCTAGTCCTTTTTACTCCTTAGAGCATAGGCAAGCCTTAGAACAATTTCCCCCAAACCTAACTCTTGAGTGAGATATAGCTGATTTGTTTGGTTTTGTTTACTTAGTAACTACAACTTCATGCAATAACATAGGGAAAAGCTTATAATTTTCATATGGTCCTGTATCAAATCCTCTACTAACTGATAACCACTAAAACCCAACAAAAAACTATCATCATTTTTAATCAATAGCATAAGTCTAGAAAATTTTACTGTTATTCACTATGGGCTCATGGCTGTGTGAATTTCTTTTACGGAGTATCTATTAGAGAGAGAGAGAGAGCTCAATGTTTTTGAGCAAGAATCTTACATTGTAAAAAATATTTTCTTAAAAAACACTATAAAAATCCTTTAAAACAACACTTTAAAGGCTTCAGAATGAAATGACACCCCCATCCAATGTACCTTAAAAAAATCATATAACCATACCAAAAATGTTCAATTGTGAAGTCAATAATCAAATTAAAGTGCAAAAATTCAACACACACACACACAATCCCACCATGCATGTGCAAATGTGTAAACAATTAAACTGGAAATTCAAACAAAGAAGAAAACTCAACAAATATGATCTAAAGAAGGAGAAGAAAAAATGGACCTTGAAAGGGTTAAGCAGAGGAGCAGGAGTGAGTGGGGAAGTAGCCACCTTTCCTTACTTAAAAGGGTCAAAAAGCATGAGAAAAACGGGGGAAAGCAAAGGATTGAGAAGAAATTAAGCAGGAAATTTGAGGGGTAAAGAAGGGTTAAAGCATGAAGAAGCCATGAAATGTCAATGGAACCTTCCCATCAAGTATCACTATACGGTTATGTCTTTTCATCTTACACTCTTAAGCGGTATTAGGAGGCATGAGGTAGTGTCACAAATTCACAAATAATAATACTCCGTATAAGTTACAAGATTCGAAAAATGTGCAACAAATCGCCACTATTTGACAAATAGATCACAAACGTTTGGTGTTCATCCAACACATTCTAGGGTCTGTTGTCATTCTTCAGGGATGAGAGAACCTTAAAAAATCAATTAAGAAGTAAAATGGGATTAATTGATTGTGGTGTTGCCAAGTAACATTCGGCGTGTTCAAGTGTTTGGTGAATGTACAGACCATCTGTCTTTCTTTGTCATCTACTCACTCACTCAATGTAGAAAATTGGCTACGATGCAGATTCTCCAACCGACTTAAAAGATGACTCAAAATAAAAGGTTATTTAAAAAAATAAATTAAAAACTGGTTTCTTAATAGGGTGGGGTTCCAGTGCCACTGGAATCCGGTGCCACTAGCGGTGCCACCGGCATTTTGGGGCACCTCCGGTGCTCCGTTCGCAAAATTGACGATTCCCACCCCCCCTAACTCACCCCCTTAATATTAACCAAACATTAAATTTGATTTTCAAACAAGTTTCCTTAAAATGGGTCTTACTTAAATATAAGTTGAAAATTCATATTTTATACTCCCTCCTTCCAATTTATAGTGATTGTTCACTATTCACAGAGTCAAACTTCATTCACTTTCTTTCTCTATTTTCGTTAGCAATTTGATAAAATAAAGTATTATTGTCACTACTAGTTTTGTAGATCTTTTGATGTAGTATTTTGATATGTAATTTTTATTTTTTAACTCTACACCATTTGTCTTATAAAATGATTTAAAAATAATTTCAATCAAACATCGTAAACCGAAACAGGCGCTATAAATTGGAACGGAGGGAGTATGATAAATTCTATAAAAGATTCCCAGTTATAGTTCGTTTTACATATTTAGTCCCTACATATCAAATATCAATAATTTAGTCCCCAATTATTACATTGTTTTCCAAGAATGGTCTTTTGTTAATATTTCTGTTAAAAATATGGATAAAATTGTAAATTCACGCTCCCCTCTCTATTCAATTAAACTTCCTCTCTCCTCTCGCACTTCTTTCTCAAACCCGTCGCTGAGTTTGAAGCTTTGAACTCAAAATCAAAATCATTCCTCCTCTCTCAATTGTTTGTCTTCCTGGTGGAATCCAAAATCGAAACCATTAACTTTCATGGATGTGTTTTAAGGTTTGTTTTCTTTGCAATTTCCCCGAAACTAACCTATAAAATTCATTCATGAAGATTATTGGTTTCGATTTTGGGTTCCACCAGGAAAATGAACAATTGAGAGAGGAGTGATCGTTTCGGTTTTGGGTTTAGAGTTTCAAACTCAGCAACAGGTTTGGGAATGAGTACGAGAGGAAGGGGGAAGCTTAATTGAAGAGAGAGAGAGAAAGAAAGGAGTGTGAATATACAACTTCATCAATGTTCTTAACGAAAATGTTAACAAAGGATTATTTGTAGAAAATAATATAATAATTGGGGACTAAATTATTAATATTTGATATGTATGAACTAAATATGTAAAATGATCTATAACTGGGAACCTTTTATGAAATACTTTATGACCACAATAGAAAACTCTTTTCTGGTTCCCAGCATGCCTTGAAGTAACTAGCATCAGCTAAACTAATTAACTTCAACAGAAATAAATATTCACTAGCCATAATAACAGGCAAGGTTTCAACCTAAAATGCATAATTAATCGGGAGCAGATCTCGCTCCGGAGTTCATCCGTCAACAGCAATACAAACAAAGCTTTGGGAATTTGAGGACATGGAAATCATCCTAAATGGTACTCTAATGTTTTGTTGCAGTGATTATTCGTACCCCTTTTAGGAGATCATAACAACCAACTTCTGCCTCAACAAAGCTGACTACTGCAAAAGAAACTGACGGCGGGTTTAGATCTGTCCCAGGATGACATCCCCACCAGAAACTTTGAACTCAGATGGAACTTTTTCAACGTTGAGAACCTTGACATGTCCATCAACGACGTATGCTGACCACCTGTTTTCAGTAACACGAGAACATTGAGCGAGGGAGTCCTAGTTTGGTTAGGGTAATCGGATTCCACCCCAAAATTTTCAAAGTTGGGGTGCATAAGCATTTAGAAAGCAAGCAGTTGCTGTCAAAACTCAAAACTAGTCTTAATTAAAACAAAGCATTCGAATATTTAATGGACTTTGCTTCAGGGCTCCCTCCCAAGGATGCCCCCAAAAGGGTACTCCATGCTCTTTCTTTCTTGTTCTTAGAATCTCACATTCATGAGCTCATGTACATGTTCATATGATAACAGGAAAGAGAGCAGAAGCATCCTTGGGTCCCTTTAGTGTTTTCCTTTTATGATTGGCTTGTTTTTATACCTGTGGGAGCGTGTTCCAAGCAAAGCACCAGATAGGTCGATGGTTAAGTCCAAGCTCTTGTGGAAATTCCCATCAAAATCGCCATAGAACTCAATCTGTACAATTTATATCTTACATGCATCAGTTCAACCTTCAAAATTCTGATTTCCAAAAACCAAAAATAAATCCCCCATCCCACAATTAACTTCACACTTTGACTTTCAAACTCATCAATGCGACGTTTTGAGAATTACGTAGTAATACTTATGATTATAAATAATTAAATGATATAAACCCAATGATATTCTAAAACTACATTTCAAAATGAATCTAATGACATTAGAGTTAAATTATAGCTCAATGTATTTTTTAATGATAATCATGACCATCAAAGTTTATAAGTTTTGACTACAGAGGAAGTATTTCATAAATCCTTCATTCTTGTATACTGGAAGTGGTCAAATGAATTAGTTTGTTTCAGGTCCTTCATTAATCTAGTTTCCTATTCAAGATTGATTGGATAGATAGACACATTAGACAGAACTTTAATTTGACGGAAACAGGACAAGAAATTACTTCAATGGGTTGTTTAAGGAGAAGTGCGCGAATTAACTACTAGGAGTAATGGCACAAACAGAAGTCACAAAAGACTGCACTTGTTGATTGAATATTTGAGTAAATATGTTCCACTATCAGCCCTACTATTTTATTTAAAAACAAAACTATTGAGCCAGTTGGCAAGCAATGAATCAATTGTCATGCTAGGATAGATAAAGCATTCCTGAGACAAATACAACAACCTAGTGTAATCCCACGGAAGTAGGGTCTGGGGAGGGTGGGTGTACGCAGACCTTGCCCCTACTTGAAAGTAGAGAGGCTGTTTCCAAGAGACCCCCAACTTGGGCAAAACATAAAGCACAGAGCACGAAAGAAAGAGCAAGCTAAGAGTAGATAAAACAGAACACAATTAACAAAATGAGGAAAAAAAAGAAAAGTCACCAAGCAAGGAAAGCACACAACTGTAAGAACAAAAAGCTAACTATCTTAAACCAAAAGAGCTAGAGAGACTAGCACTGGGTCCTAGAAAGCTAACCAGCTACCCCAGTCCTAGATCTCTAGACCCTCCTATCTAAGGTCATATCCTCAGTTAGGGCTAAACAACCTAAATCTTGTCTGCTCACCTCCTTCCAATTCTTCTTAGGCCTACCTCTTCCTCCACCCCCGTCCACTATCGTAATCCTCTCACACCTCCACACCGGAGCCTCAACACTTCGCCGCTTCACATGCCCAAACCACCTTAACCTGACTTCCCTCAACTTATCCTCCACAAGAGCCACCCTCCCTAGACCCTACTTCACATTCATGAGACAAATGTTAGTAGAAACTCAGTACTATAGATTCAGAGACCATAGATAGCCATGTTATTTCTTTTTGAGTACTACTAAGTAATAACTCTACCTGTCATGTAACTTCTAACCGGTGGTAGAGATATAGTTCATAACTAAATGCCCCAAGTTCATGTGAAAGATACACCTCGATACCTCATTGGCCCGCAAAATGAGGTATCATGAAACCAACTCATAACAGAAACTCCAACAATTAACTTACAGCATCTTTTGCTTGAAGCTTCTCCGCCCACCCATTCATTACATATGGATCATTGATAGATACACAGATCACTGAGTCAACTCCCTTGGCCTTAAGCTTGTCAATGTTATTCTTGTAGCTGGGCACATGTTGGGCTGAACAAACTCCAGTGTAAGCACCCTACAAGATGGCACAACAAGCTCATTAGTACTGGAGAGAGAGAGAGAGAGAGAGAATCCAGTACAGATTTTTACTGCAGAAACAGATGCTTGAAATTCAAAGAATTGTAAATGCAAGTGCAACTAGGGATGGCAACGGGGAGGGGAGTAGGCGGGGGACAATACCCTGCCCTGCACAACAGAATTTTTGTATCCTTGTTGCTTTTACTGCTATTTTATCGCTCTTATGTGGTTTGTGATTTGATTGCTGTTATTGCTCTACTGTGGCTTCTTCAGTCTCCTTCTAGTGTGTGTGTTAAGGTGTTGCTTAGATTGCTAACTATTTGTGCTACTACCGTACTCTTTTACTGTTATTTGTATTGTTGCTCTTACCTTCTTTAGCAGTGGTTCGTATCCTACTGTTTTTGTGTTAGTAGCTTCGTCTCTGCTTTGCTTTTTGGTGCTATTGTGTAGGTGTAGTGGCGTAGGTTAGCAATGTAGCTATAAGGTCATATCCCGGGGTTGGGACGGGGGTAGGGGGGTCGCAGAGGGGTAGTGTAGTGTCACATGTGCGTTTCGGCTCATGGAACATAGGGACCCTCACAGGTAAGTCAATTGAGTTGGTGCAAGTTCTCAAGAGGAGAAGGATTCAGGTGGCATGCGTGCAAGAAACCAAGTGGGTGGGCACTAAGGCGTGAGAGGTTGATGGTTTCAAACTGTGGTATTCAGGTTCAGCTAGGGGAAGGAATGGAGTCGGTATTCTGGTGGCGCCGGAGCTGCGAGAGTTTGTGGTGGAGGTGAAGAGGATTAGTGATCGTCTGATTTTATCAAGTTGGTTTTGGGTGGGTGTGCAATCAATGTCGTGAGTGCTTACGCCCCGCGTGTTGGCTTGGCAGACGAAGTTAAGAGGGAGTTTTGGGACGCCTTGGATGGTCGTGGGAAAATCCATACCTCAAAACTAAACTACACAATGCAATAAAGAAGGAAATGTTTGTGAATGATCTAATGTTGGAAGACTGGAAAAATCCCCAGGGTACACAATGCAATAAAGAAGGAAATGTTTGTGAATGCTTACATATACACCTATGTTGGTCTCGTGAATATGATGAGGAGGTTTACAAATCAAAGGAATTTGCATAGGCCTGCTGGTACAAAATTTTCCACCTCTTTCATTACTCTCTCTCAAATCCACAAACAGAAAAACAATCTAAGAAAGAAGATCACTTCTGAAGTTTGAATTTCTAGCAAATGGTCAAAAAAAACCGTCGAGAGGGAAGTTGCTTCAATCTTGATGCATGAGAGCTTTTGGAAAAATATCATTTTTGCTCTTAAGTTGAGTGGCCCGCTTGTTAAGGTTCTTAGAGTGGTTGGTGGAGAAAGAATGCCCCCCATGGGATACATCTAAGGTTCCATGGATAGAGCTAAGGAAACCGTTGCAAGAACCTTTTGGAGAAATGGAGGAATTCTACAAGACAACATTTGAGATTATAGATAGTCAGTGGAATGTCAATTGCATTGACCCTTGCATGCCATGGGTCATTACTTGAACCCTGGAATCTTTTATGATAATGCACAAGCAATTACTGGTTGTGAAGAAGTCATGGAGGGATTATATTCTTGCATTCAAAGATTGGTTCTTGGCATGGTAGATCAAGATAAAGTCATAAATGAGTTGGATGCACATTTAAATGCAGAAGGCTTGTTTGATACCCGGTGGCAGTCAAGGAAAGGAAACAGAATTCTCCTGATAAATAATTTAAATAATTCAACTCATTCTTTTTCTCAAATTTGAAAATGTGAACTTATTGTTCTTTTTTTGGATTTTGTTTTTAACTTTAAACAGAAGATTGGTAAAATTCATTTGGATCGTCTTTCCCAAATAGAAGAAGTTTTCCATTCGAGTCATTAGCCTTACCTGTAGTGCTATGCGCTGTGAAATAAAATGGGGTGTTTTTCAACATGTAAGCACTAAATTTTAATCGTTGAAATTAAATTTTTTATAATGGTTATACATCGTAATATTTAAACAAATTTAGCATTAACATTTAGCAACTTCATACTAACAAGAAAAACCTTTTGGCATAAAGTCGCTGGAAGGACATGGTGTTTTTTAAATACAATTGTGCTTCAATAGGAGATAATAAAGAAGGAATACAAGTGATCCCTTTTTTTAAGAAGAAATTGATGAATGTAACAAGTGGTTAGTGGTTACGTGGAAGAATGGATGAAAACGGCGGAGGTAATAATGATTATGTGTATGAAAATAATAGTTTGACATGGGGGTTAGTTGCTAAAGCTGCATAAAGGGGCATATGATCCAAATTATGTCACTAGATCATCCACAAGAAAAGAGGGGGCCAATTTAAGCAACAGCAAAGGAAAAAGTGTTGAAGAACCTTGGGGGGGGGGGGGGGGG